GTCCAGCCGTCATTGTCATTGTGGGTTATTACCTATTTTTATTCCTTTATTTTTGTTTTGGTGAGCTTTTGGTGGGACAGGGAGAGAAATATATTTGTGATCAATCCATCATAAGTAACTGCAACTCTGTCCCCTTCCTAAGAGCAGAGAATTCTTCCAAGAAGCACTGGCTAGTTTTATCCCTTTTTAATTGAAAGATTCTTTGTTCTTTTCTCCCTTGCTCCTTTTGTTGGGATTTCCATATCCATTGAGATCCTCCAAGACAGAACTGAAAAGAAAAACTTGGAGTATTATATACCACATTAGCTCAGCTCTTCCTGCAGCCTGATTCTGGGTCTTTGCAAAGATCAAATCTTTCAAACATTTTTCCTCAGGAAAAAAAATTTTTTTTAAGATTTTATTTATTTGAGAGAGGAGGGGGGAAAGAGAGAGAGCATGTGTGAGCGCAAGCTGAAGGGGACAGAGAGGGAGGAGAGAATTTGAAGCAGATGCCACACTGAGTGCAGAGCCTGGCCAGAGGCTCAATCTCATGACCACAAGATCATGACCTGAGCTGAAACCAAGAGTCAGACCCTTAATTGACTGAGCCACCCAGGTGCCCCTTTCCTCAGAAAAATTTTATACATTTCTAAGCTCTGTACTCTTCCATCTACAGCTTTTGATCTTTCCTGAATATCATTTGATTCAGGAATATCCTTTCCAGATAGCCTGTGAAATGGGTAAATGTTTAGGTGTGTTGAGTCTGACGTACTCATTAGTTGGGCAGGGAAAGTGGCTAGGGCCCTAGGGTAACAGGTAGGCATGATATAAGACATATTGATAGCAAGGTGTAATTTTATAGAAATTTTTCTATAAATTTCAATTGCCATCATCCAGGGCAAATGCAGATTTAGGCAGGGGGACTTGGTTAGCCAAGAGGAACTTCAGAACGCCTTTCTGAAGAAGCAGCACTTGCATTGAGGCTTTCCAGACAAAGGGACTAGAGGGTGCAAATGCTTTGCATTTCTGGGAACAATCTTGGCATGCTCAGAGAACAGGAAGAAGGCAAGTACACCTGGAATGTCACGAACAGAGAGTTTTCAGATGAGATCAGAGAAGTCCGCAGTGGCCAGATTGCATTAGGGTTCACCTTGTGTTCTTTTTTTTTTTTTTTTTTTTTTTTTTAAAGGAAATTCCTCATATGGAGCTTCCTTTTTTTTAATTTATTTATTTATGATAGTCACAGAGAGAGAGAGAGAGAGAGAGAGAGGCAGAGACATAGGCAGAGGGAGAAGCAGGCTCCATGCACCGGGAGCCCGATGTGGGATTCGATCCCGGGTCTCCAGGATCGCGCCCTGGGCCAAAGGCAGGCACCGAACCGCTGCGCCACCCAGGGATCCCCTCACCTTGTGTTCTAAGTGTATTGGGAAGCCATTGGAGAGTTCTAAGCAAAGAAGTTGTTGATCTGGTCTATGGTTTAGAAAGCTCATTTTGGTGGAGAGATGTGTCTGCAGCCAGGTCCGAGTAGAAGCAGCCAGACCAAGCTACCAAGCTGTTGTTATAACCCCGGTGGGAGTTGATGGTGGCTTGGAATTAGTGAGGGATAAAGGGAGTAGAGAAAGAGATTTGTTGTTGTTTTTAAAGGTTTTATTTATTGAGAGAGAGAGAGAGAGAGAAAGAGCAAGTACAGTATGGAGAGCTGCAAGAGGAGAGCGAGTAGCAGGCTCCCCAGGCAGGGAGCTTGATGTAGACTTGTCAGTCTACAGGACCCTGGGATCATGACCCAAGCCAAAGGCTGACACTGAGCAACCCAGGTGCCCCGAAAAAGAAATATGTGATCTGCTATGGTGGTAGAACCCACAGGACTGGATAGTAAATTGTATGTGGGGGGTGAAGTCTGACGGAATCCCAGATCTGTTTGGTAATCTTTTGACTGGGTCCCAAATTATTGGGATATTAAACTTCTGAAACCTCTAGGATTAAATAAGTGTCTCCTGTAATTGATGTAATGGGAGTTTACCAACCATTAAATTCTGTACTGTAGGAACAGATAGAGAAAATTAGTTCATTGGTGATCTCATCCAGTCTCCCAGTCTGGTGGCTTTCAATACCATCTATATGCTAATGGCTTCCATATTTCTATGTTCAACTCGAACTTCTTCCCTGAATTTCAGACTCCTATGTCCAGCTGCCCCCTTCCCATCAAAATGTAACATACCCAACAAAACTCTTGATTTCCCACGCCACCTCCCAGCCTGTGGCCCCTGCAGTCCTTCCTCTCTCTGTTAGGGCAGCTGTATTTTTCCAGTTGGTCAAGCAAAACCCTTGGGGTTGTCCCAAGTCCATGCATTCTCTCTGTCTCTCTCTCTGCCTCTCTGTCTCTCTCTCACTTTTTATAATCCTTTAGGAATCCTCCACTTGGGGATCCCTGGGTGGCTCAGTGGTATAGTGCCTGCCTTTGGCCCAGGGCATGATCCTGGAGTCCCGGGATCGATATATATATTTGATATATATATATATATATATATATATATGATATATATCAAAATATATTCAGAATCAAGGCATCTGGGTGGCTTAGTCAGTTGAGCATCGGACTCTTTGTTTTGGCTCAGGTCATGATATTTAGGTTGTGAGATCAAGCCCTCACATTGGGCTTTGCACTCATTGGGGAGTCTGCTTGATTCTCTCTCTCTTTCCTCTGTTCCTCCCCCACCCTCACTCAATCTCTCTAAAATAAATAAATCATATATATATATATTCAGAACTGACCACTCCTCATTGCCCTCCACTGTCCCCACCACCATCTAAGCCACCCTTATGCCTTCTCTGGATCACTGCAAAAGACTGCTAGCTGCCCCCCCCACTTTGGCTCTGCCCCAGCATTCTCTTCCCAATATATCAGTGAGAGTGATCTTTAGAAAAGATAACTTCAATCCCGTTAACTGCTCTGTGTACAGTAGGCTCCAGTGGCTCTTAGTTTTCCCCAGTATGAAAGTCAAAGGCCCTCCATGATCTCATTCTCTGACCTCAGCTCCTACTCAGAGTATTAGGGAATACTTGTCTTCAAGGCTCCACGCTAGAGGAAAGTTTCTTACAAAACATCTTTAATTGATTGAGTTTTAGTTCTTCTCCCAAAACACACACAAATAAAAGCCATAATGGTCCAGCATTTTGGCTACAAAGATTTCCATAAACAGAGCACGTCCTTTCAAGGAGTTCAGATGGTGAAGAAGCCAAGATCTCGAGGATAAACAGCAGTAGGGGGCAGCACATTGGAGTTGTATCCCAGAATCCTTGGCCAAAGAAAATGTACACAAAAGAATGACTGAATTCCCTTTCTCCTTTTCTGATCACTCTGTTTATTCTCCTTTGTGTAGATTGATGAGACTATGTGACTTCGTCTTGTAACATTTAACTTAAAACTGCTAATTTGTATTAGTTTATAAATAGGAGCTGTTATTTTCTGTAATCCCAAGGACCAAAAAAAAAAAAAAATAGTCTTTTGACTGGTTCTCAGTATATGTTATTTTCCTGTGTTGATTATCACCAGGTTTTCTTTTAATTTATTATCCTCTGTTCATCCTTGCAGCAGTATCTTGTGCACTTCACTTGCTGACTGGAGGGGCATGTTGAGTTGAAGGTCCCGAGAGGAGCAGGAACCCTGGCAGGGTGCTTGGGAACTATACCTTTGTCTTTTCTTTCACAAAATGATCTGATATGACCAGTGTATGTTTAACCTTAAAAACTGGCAGAGTGTGGTCAGATTAAGAATAGGTGGCATTGGGGTATTCTACTAAGAAGTAGTTTGCTTGTGTTTCAGTCATGCCAGCGATTGTGTTGAAATTACTTGTCTTAATGGCCAAAACTCTATTACAGTTAAGGTTAAATTTATGCCAGTGTTTTCTCTTAAGTGAAAATGGGCTTAATATTTTTTCTTATAAATCTAAAACAATTATGATGATGATGATACAGAGAAGCCTAAAGCAAAAAGCAAAAAATGTGTCTCTCTTCCCAGAGATAGCTGTTTTCAATACTTCCGTGTATTGTTGCTAGAATTTTTCTTTGCTCTTTTTTTTTTAAGTAGGCTCCACATCCAGCATGGACCCCGACATGGGGCTTGAACTCATGACCCTGAGATTGAGACCTGAGCTCAGATCAAGAGTCAGATGTTTAACTGATTGAGCCACCCAGGCGCCCCCAGCCTTTTTATATAAATACATACCTCAAGTGAGATTATAATTCTACAGACTATTTTGTAACCTCCTTTCTGCTCAACAGTATATCATGAACATATTTCCATGACAGCATATGTGGATCTGAATAACCCTTTTTTATTCTCTTGCGGGGGAGGGGCAGAGGGGGAGGGAAAGAGAGAATCTTAAGCCAACTCCCTGGTGAGTGCAGAGCCCAATGCGGAGCTTGATCTCACAACCCAGATATCGTGACCTGAGCCAGAACCAAGAGTCAGATGCTTAACCAACTGAGCTACCAAGGTGCCCCCCCCTCAATAACTCCTTTTAATGGCTAGATAATAAATGATAAAAATACTTTTTTATTTTTCCTAAAAGTATCTTAGACAAAACGAATCTAGGCTCCCCTTAAAAATTTAAAAGGCATGCAATTTAAGAAGCAAGAGTTTATTTTACTGACCTAAAGTAGCAACCATATTAAATTAAGAGGGCCCGCAGATACTCTGAACAAAATGGTCTCAGTTACTGAATAAGCTCATTTGTTTCTGTGGCAACTGCAGCACATCTTTTATTGAGCAACCTACTAGGTGCCAGCATGAATCTAGGTGCTGGGGACACTGTGGTGAATTAGCTGCATGTGGGTTCTCTGCTTGCAAAGAGTTCACACTCTTGAGGGTTAGAATCTGATAATAAACTAATAAGAAATAAGAAAAATATCAGGTATTGAAACATGCCTGACATTATGTTTTCACGGTGGCATTTAAGCTGACATTTTGGTCCTGAATTCTGTAGATTGAGCCAAATTATATATTATAATTATATTTTCAGGTTTGAAGACAGCGAAAAACAAATAAATTATGAGTCATTTTTCTGTGCCCTGAACTGGAGGATAAATCCGATGCCTGAATTGGAAGCAACGTTGTACACTAAAGAGGTAAAATGAACACCTGTTTTAAAAACCAGCTGTGACTACCTCTCTTACATTTTTAATGTCCTTTATCTTAAAAATTATTTTTCAGCATAAGACATTAACGTCAGTGCTTTTGGAAAACGCGGATGTATTTCTGGGTATTTGTGTTAAAGGCTAATTCACTTTCCATGCTGAGCGAACATCTGCTCTATAAGAGCATGACTTTTCTTATGCAGCTGAATTTTTTTTTAACCTCAGTCGCATCCAATTATATGGAAAATAGGATAATAAGTTACAGTTATAAATAGATATAAACACTGTTATCAAGGGATTCTGCTAACATCATCATGAGCAAATCTCAAATGGTGCATATGTCAAGAATCCCCAGTATGTCTGTGGCTGTGCAAACAGGTTTGCCTTGGGTGAAACAGTATAGTAGGGGGATGCACATTTCACAGTGGAGCCAAATTTAAAATAAAAATTCAGTAGAAAAATGCTTGGTTAGGGAAAACAAAGTTCATGTGATCGGGTGGTGCTCTCAACGTTGTGGAATTGTCTGAATTCTCAAAGATCTCTTTGGACCAATTGTCTTTAAGGAGTGGGTGGGTGGATGGTGGTTTGTTTATATTTTAACATGCTCCAGAAATTGATTTTCTTGGGAAAGTCCCTTGATAAAGCAAATGTCATGTGGTGACTCCTAGAAAGGAGGCATTTATTCCTCCCAGTCTCTGCTGACCAACTCATTCTGGCCTGAACTGGTCTGGTGCCCCTGGGGAGTTCCCTCAGGCATGCAACTATTCTGGAGTGTCAGGCAGCCTTAGAACTTCCAGATGGTTGAGAGACAGTGGTGGCCTTCGGAGTCAAACATAACTTGGGTTGAATTCTGGCTCTGCCACTTACATAGTTGAGTGACTTTGGGTTATTTAACTCATTCATTTATAAATTTAATTCTCAGACAAATCATGAATAAGTATCCACTCTCAGCAGGTCCTGTGGTCCTTGCTGGGGTCCAGAGACAAAGGTCATTGTTGCTACCTTTGCCCCCCGCCCTCACCAATGGCAGAACCAATACATTCATGATTTGGAGTGTGGCATGATACAGCCTGCATGGGATGGAATAGGATGAGGAAGGAGCTGTTGGGGTTGGGTTTGGGGGAGACAGGAGGTCTTCTCAGGGGAGATGATGCTTGAGATTTCAGTGATGAATAGGAAGAGTCAGCAAGGGATAAAAGTGGCATGGTATGGAAAAGGCATTCCCTAGCAGAGGCTCTGGGACAGAGGACAGCATGGCACTTGTATAGAACCAGAAGGAATTCGTGTGGCTGGAATGAAGGCACAAAGGGAGGAATAGAGAGGGATGAGGCTGGAGATACCTTCAGGGGTGAGGTTTGAATATTGTCCTGCAAGGTCTGGAAACCCATGGGACGGATTTCAAGGAAGACAGTGACATGATCACGTGTACCCTGGTCCTAGAGTTTGTCCTGGCTGGATGGTGGGCACTTTGGAGAGGTGCCATGGAGACAGGTCTGTGCCCATTGGGAAGCTCTTGGTGAACCATTGTCACCATGACAACTGCAAACACTTAAAGCATGAGCAAAACGCTACCCTAAGACCTGAAAATCTATTAGCTGGTTTAATCCTCGTAGCAACCCTGTGAGATAGGTACTCTCATGATCCCTATTTTAGAGACAAGGAAGTTAGAGAAACAGCAGATGTGTGATAAAGAATTATAACTCAGGTCTGTTTTACTACAAAGAATAAGAAGAAAAGAAAAAAATTATTTTTTAGTGTGATTATGGTTAAAGATTCTAGATTTCATTAACTAAAATCCAAGATACCATCACAAAAGCAAATCAGTACTGTCCTTTGGTAACCTTTTAATTCTCATCTATGCAAATATTTAATGTTGTATATAAAAAAGAAAAAGGATAGATGGAGTTTCTGTTCTCCCTTCTCACTCAATGTATTCTGTGCCAGATATCATCCATTTGTCCCATTAGGACTTTTCTCCAGCTCCTCCTCCCCTGTTCCGAGTCCTGGGCAGCTGACCTTTATGGCTGAATCAGTGGTCCCCTAACCCCCTGGCCTCCAGTTGGGTTGGCCAATGGGATGCACCAGCAAGAGAGTAGAGGGGGATGGGAGGGGAGAGAAATCCTTTCCTCTCTGCTTGTCCCAGGAATTGACTGCCTCCTCCATAGAGCTGCCCACCATTTTAGGTTCCAGTAACCACCCTCTCTTGCCCCTTTAGCCCCCCGTGGTGGCACTGGCTCTCTGTTGCTCTTGTCCTTGAGGGACCAGAGGATCCCCTGTTGGTTTTCCTAAACGCTTCCCACAACTTTGCAAATCGTCACTGTATTAAATTCTTCTCAACTTACACAGTTTGCTCATGTCCTCTATTTCCTATGGCACCCCAAATGATGCGCGGGCTGCCACTTGCAAGATGGCAACTGCCTCTGTTGTATTTTTCCTTAGTTCCTACTTCCCTGCCTTTCTGTTCCACCCAGCCCACCACCCCTATGTTCACCCATATGTTGGGGGCTTCATTACTGGTTGTACAAAAATATAATTCTACCACGTGCATTTATTTATAAACGGTGTGTTTTTCTTACTTACCACTACATCATGGGCAATCTCTCTAGTTTAATATGTATAGACCCGAGCCATTCTTTAATAGCTGCAATATGGATATAGAATGATCTATTCATCCAGTTTTCTGTTGATAGGCATTCAAGTCATTTTTACATTTTTGCCTTTGAAAACGTGGGAATTATTACTTTAATTTTTATTTTCCTGCTGACTGAATTTGAATGAAATTTAATGACCTTTGGATACGACAACCCGCAGTAAGATACTTTTTTCATAGCAACCCACCATGCACAGATACAGTGGAACCAGAGTTTTGTGAAACAGTAGTATTCTGACTGCATGCGGCATAATGTGTAATCTTGTCTTTCTCTTTTCCTTCCTTTCTTCCTTCCCTCTTTTCCTTTTTTTTCTCTCTTCCCCCACACCCCTTCTTTCTGTCTTTCGAATGTCATTTGTGAACCATTAAGTTGACTTAAGGGCCCACAGAAAAATCACCACCCACACTGGAAGAGGGGTCACTCCATGGGAAGGTCTAAGATCCACTTTCCCCTTAGCCGCCCTTCCCCCATTTCATCCCTTGCATGCTCTGTGACTGGGACATGAATCGGAGTTCAAATCCTTAGCTCTGTGATTGACTAATTGGCTGACTTTGTGCAAGTCACTCAACCTTTCAGGTTTCCTTCCCTCAACAATGGAGATAAAAATAGTACTTCCGGGGTACCTGGGCAGGGCAGATGATTAAGCTTCTGACTCTTGATTTCGGCTCAGGTCGTGATTGTGGAGTTACGAGATCAAGCCCTGGTCAGGCTCTGTGCTCAGTGCAGAGTCTACTTAGGACTCTTTCTTCCTCTGCCCCTCCCCCCTGCATGTTCCCCTGTATGTGTGTATGTGTGGGCATGCACACGCACACTCTGTCTCGTGCGTGTGCACGTTCTCTGTCTCTCTGAAAGAAAAGAAAGAATGAATAGTACTTCCATCAGGGTAGTTGTGAGGATTGAGTTGATTCACGTGAGACACCTATCACCACATCTGTCCCTTAATAAGGGTTTAAATGTTAGCTATTATTATTGTTTGTAAAATAGAGAGGTCTTACTTCCTCAGCTGAGGCAGCCAGGCCTTGAGCAGACACCTTCCAGGGCTAAGATCAACAGGAGTATAGCACCAGAAAAAGGGTCCATGCTTCAGCAGTGGGTTCTTCCAGTTGTTACTCATATTCAGTGAGAACTTTGCACTTCGGGTCTCTTATCAGCTCTGCTCACCAAGCCTCGAAGCAGTTCAGTCTGTGAGAGATGTTTAGAATGGGCCATTTCTTTTTCACCAGTTTAAGAAAGAAAGGAACATAGGTATAAAATGGTACCGGTTTAACTTAATAATGAGAATGTAACTAGATCCCAGTCTCTAGCACTCTGGTATTCCTCAGCTTGTTATTGTTTCATAAAGAGGATATAAGATAGCTTGGGAATGTTACCAGTGAGTCTATAATCTCATGTGAAAATATTTAGTGGGAATGGGTTGAGCGTAATATTGCAGAGTTGATACAGTACAATCAGTAGTGGAAAAGCACAGTATCTCCTGAACCATGCAAGTTAATGTCTGATGATGCCCTGAGACACTCGAGTCAGAGCCTGTCAAATTGATTGGGTTCTCCAGGAAGCAGGTAGAGTTTTACATGCAGGAGGTTTATTTGGGAGCATTCTTGGGATCAATATCTGTAGAAGGGAGAGGAAGGACACGGGAATGGACAGAGGGAGCAGCTGAGGCAGCCCCACAGAGAGCTCTGGAGCTTGATGACCTTTCAGAGCTGTCCTGAGATGGACCAAAATGGCTAAGCCTTTATTTCCATGGGTTGCTTTAGGAAAGGGTATGACCTTGGGTAACGTGACTCTTTGCAGCGAAGGCAGCTCTGTAGCCGAGGCGATCGCAGAAGGGGACTGTCAGCAGCCAGACAGCCACGTCCTTCCTCAAAGGGATCCAGGATGGTGCATCATAGCTTGGCAACCAGCTGTTCTTGACACTCTTGGTTTTTGTTTTTATTAAGGATAATGAATATACAGTATTGTATTAGTTTCAGGTGTATAACATGGTATTTTATACACGTTGCAAAATAGTCACCCATGTACCTGTCACCATGCAATGTTATTTACTGTATTCCCTCGGCTGTACATTACATCCCTGTCTTAGTTACAACTGGAAGATTGTACGTCTTAATTCCCTTCACTATTTCATCCATCCCGCCCCTTACCTCTCTCCCCTTTGGTGACCATCTGTTCTCTGTAGCCGCGTGTCTGTTTCTGTTTTGTTTGGTTGTTTTTTTAGATTCTGCATATAAGTGAAGTTGTGACAGTACTCGTCTTGTTCTGTCTGGTCTATTTCACGCAGCCTAATGCCCTCAGGGTCCATCTATGATGATGCAAATGGCAAGATCTCCTTCCTTTATT